ATTTGTTTTTATTTACATTTTCATGACATATTTATCAAAGGATAACGAAAATTTCTGTCAGAGTTGTTTTCTAAAACCTTTTTTGTTAAAACATCATATTATAGCGACAACTATTGAATTGCGACAGCTGCTTTCCAATGATATATGCTATCTCAAGAAGAAAACAGTTAAATCAAAGTATTAAAAAGTTGAAGCTAAAACCAAACGATGATTTTATTATTTTATCTACATGAACTTTATTTTAAATCAATAGAAAAGTCCTGAAAAATAATTACATATAAATTGTTCTGTTCGATTAATTTAGTTCGATGTTAAAATTGCGCATATTAATTATCAATGGTTATCATTGAATACATATTCCGAACATTATTTATAAATAGTGCAATTGTTATGTACTCCAGTATATTCTTTTTCGTTTTTATCCATATTATACAGTGACTATAATCACGCAAAAAATGCATTCATTCAGTCTCTTTTTTTGTTTGTTCTCTTGCTTGCATTACTCCGATTCTTTACGATAAGACCCAAGAAAAAACACCATGTTATTCTTCAGTCTAAAACTATGAAAACGAAAACAGTACCATTAAAAATTATATTACTTCTACTTACACTTTATATTCTTCAAGGAGTTATTATTGGTTTTATCTTAGCTATTCCTCTCTATTTGGATTCACGCGGTGCTAAATGGCAAGAACAAGGAACATTTAATTTTGTCGTTTATCCATTTAGTTTAAAGCTAGCATGGGCACCAATAATTGATGCTGTATATATTTCACGTCTGGGTCGAAGAAAAACTTGGCTTATACCAATACAATTTTTATTAGGAATTATACTTTTTATACTTTCATTTTATTTAACAACATTAATTGAAGAATTAAAAATAAAAACTTTAACATGTATTTTTTTCTTTGTGTATTTTCTTCTTGCTAGTCAAGATATATGTGTTGATGGTTGGGCATTAACACTTTTAATAAATTATAATCTTCAATGGGCATCAACATGTCAAACAGTTGGACAAACAATTGGGCGCTTTATTGGTTTTACTATTTTAATGACATTTGAATCAGCAAATTTTACTAATCGATTTATTCGAAAACCATTTTTATTATCAGAAAAACCATATGGATTATTTACAATAGACCAATTTATACGATTGTGGGCTATTGCTTTTCTATTAGTTTCTTTTTGCATAGCTTTATTTAAAAAAGAAATACAAGAAACTAATCATTTAAGTTTATGTCAAACTTATTTTTCAATATTTAAATTATTTAAAAAAAAATGTGTTCGACAATTAGCATTATTATTTCTTTTGAGTCCTATTGGGTATGCAGCAACCTATGCAATGACAAATTTAGTTTTAAAAAAGTAAAAAATCAAGTAAACATTTAATTTTATCATTATGTGATTTTATAATTTTAGGTATGGTGTTCCACAAGAAACTCTTGGTTTACTTGGTATTCCTTTGATTTTTGTTAAAATTCTTATACCATTTTGTATAACACAAACAAACCGTCCATTAACTTGGTACAATCGTTCATATTTACCTCGTCTTTTGATGTGTATTCTAATTGCAATATATATTTATTTTACACCATATATATTGTCTGAATGGTATTTTTATCCAATACTTATTTGTCTTTTTATATTAAATGAATCTCTAATTTATTTAATGCTTGTTTCTCGTGTTGGATTTTATGCACGTATAAGTGATCCATCTATTGGTGGAACATATATTACATTATTAAGTATGCTTGGAAATCTTGGGGCTAGTTTGACATCATCCGGAATTTTATATACCGCTGGATGGATTAAATCAGATAAATTAGCGTATCCACTTCTTGTTGGTAATTGCTTTTTACTTGGTTGCCTTTGGCTTATTGTGCAGTATAGGACAATGCTTCAATTACAGGCATTACCAGTAGAAAAATGGCATCTTCTATCAATCACAACAGTATCTAATAACATAAATGAAGAACTTTCAGAAAGATGTTTTCAAGAAGAGGAACGACAAAACATGATGGATGATGCAATTTGTGATCAACACATGGAGTAACTATTGTCTGATTCGCATATCATAGTTATGAAAATAAATTCATGGTTTTTACGAACGATTCTAGCTTGTTGTTCATAAATTCCTGCGATATTCATATTTCCAAGTAACACCAAAGTCGATGTTGAATAATGGGAATATACCATTTGTACTGGACTATATAAGCCAGAGATGAGCACAAGACAGGGCAGGCCAGAAAACATTGTCCTGTGCTCCATTCCGTCCTGTATTTCATTATATTTTTGAAAAAAGTTCACATTATATGTATTCTTTCATGATACTTGAAACAAAAGAAGAACGATAGCGGTCACTATAGGAGTAGAAGATAATATTAATTTTAACTTTGGTCGAAAAGAATTATTAAATCAGAAATGATCAGCTGTGATGAAGAAGAATAAAGAAAAACCAAAAACCAAAACTAGAAGACTATTCTTTAGAGCTGCATACTCTTAAGATCTAGATGACGAAACCCAGGAAGTTTATGTTTTTCATATCTTTTTTAAAATGTGTTATTGAAGTAATACATCAGGATGCTTATATTTTTTATTGTATGTATCAAATTGATGATTGTTATAACTTTAGTCTTTGTATTTTAAAATGATATAAAATAAATTATCTATAAGATAACTAATAAACCACTATATAATTCGGCTTCAGAAAATCACGGTAAGAATTCTTACTGTCCTACCACTTATCAGGGCATATGTGACAAACAGGACATGACAAAAGAAGTTGTTCTGTGCTCATATCTGATATAAACATAAGCTGTGAAAATTCTATAATATGAATAGAGTGTTTATTAATTGTTATAATAATTTGCATATTAACCAAGCGATGATTGGAAAACTTGATGCAATTTTAAAACTACTGAAATAGCTTATACCATCTCATTTCTTTTCAATATTCACAAGTCTATAATTCATGACGTAAAAGTAATGGAACAATTGTGTTCAGCCATGTTTTTATCCTTCGATAGAATCATATGAAAATAAAATGTTTTATATCAGAACATAAAAAGTTAATTTCTCTTGTGAATGGCATATAACGTATTTTAATCATGTCGAATCATAGCTGAAATGTCATATCCAGATCTATCGTTATGACACTCATAAACTACTGCGCACTAACGTTTAAGATGCTGTAAATGTTAAAAACTCCAACCGTATATGAGCCGTCATTCATTCGTTTGGTGAAAATAATATTACGGCCGTGTGGCACCGTTTCGTATACGGCGAAATACAAACATCGTTTACACCAAGTAACAGGCCGTAATACGCTGATATGTTCGAGAATACGAAAGTATACACTAACATGAATGATCATATGTCCTCAAAGCTAGCCGTATCTAAATCAAATATGCCGAAACAGCATCACTATGTAAAGTTAGACATCTTGACATTAACAACTATGAGTGTTGACTACATCCTTGTTGCTATACTCTGTCTAAATAATTATATCTATATCCGTATGACTATACCCTTGTACCTATAGCCTATTGTTCTATACTGTTTTGACTATATCTTTATATAAAAAAAAACGTTTTATTTGAAGTTATAGATTTCTACTCATTTGTTTACAAACGCTGAAACCATTGCCAGATGTCATGTGAAACGATATATCTTGAAACAGAAGCAAAAAATGTGGTTTATATCAACCATGAAATGGAAGAGATCGCTTAAGTTAACGGCTGTTCAGGAATAAATGCGATAGAAAACGATGATCATTTCAGAAGCTGTTTACAGTCGCCGCATTTAATGCGCTGAACGCTGCGTGAATACCAATAAAAATTGTATTCCAGCAAGAATATGACTCCTCCAAACGTAAAATTTAAGAATATATCAAGCACTAAACATCTACTGCATTACAGGCAGGCAGTCTTGACCAGTGCTTTTATGAGAGAAAAAAAAGTGGCATGTACATCAACTCTACTCACACATTTCACACCCCGAGAAGAATGTGATGACGTTATCTCATGCTCCGCTTTACTTTCCTCTTGCTCTTCTATTGTATAAGCAGTCTCCTTTTTTCTATATGAACTGTTGTTGTTGACATTTGTGAGTAAACTGTTCATTACTAACAAATAGACTGTAATAAACGAAGCTTTCTCTAGCCGTAATTTTCATATTTCAATATTCATACACGTATTCCTCACTAATAAGAATGAGTATTTTTCTCATATTGCTCATAAGGTCAAAAGTATTGATTTTGGAAAGGAAGAGAAAAAATTCATTCATTTATCCTCACTTTATCGGTTCAAAAACACCACAAAACAACAGGAAACACTTTATTCGATGCCACAGTAGACTAGGGATGAATATTTGATTACGTATATATATTTCTTGTTTCTTCATCTATTACGATTATGAAGTTGAATTATGCTTTGTGAGTAGCTACCGAATGCAATACATACAAAATTATTATATTTTCAATGCTCACTTGTTCCATCTAGCAAAAGAATAGGTTAGTATCATATGAAAATTCAAAAGTGACTGATGCTGCCCGAGTAATTCTCTTTCAGAATGACTCATTTGTGAGAAGCTTTTTAACTCGATAGATTGAGATTAAGGGTATGGAGGTGAGCATGCATGTGAATGCATGAGTACGAGTGTAGGCCAATGAAAAAGAAGAGAACCTTCACCCTCACTCACGACAAATGCAAGAAGTCATTCTAGTTTCGTTTCTAATAAGCACAATCAAGACAGACATTTATTTATGCATAGAAATTCTATCAATTTTTTTCATAAATCACAAACATTTTTCGATAACATGAATTGTTTAAATGATTGATTAAGTGCAAATACGTCTTCTGTTCTTCCATTGTTCAAAAGATTGGGAGAGAAGCCGATAGATGAGTTCACTCAATTCGACCACACTCAATACGCTCAGACCAACCCATCTACATAGAAACGACACAGATTGACTAACTATTCAACCAATGATTAAGTTTTACTTACAAGCCTGTTTGTCCACCGACAGCAGAAAACGTGTCTATGATGGTCAACTTCGCTTCCTGTTGATACTCGGTGATATATTGACTGCCGCATGTTACACGAACTTTCAAGTAATTTCGATTGAAGTAGTAATCAAAGCGCTGTGCAAAATCATTTGGTAACAAGACCCTAGTTGTATTATTTCCATCGAGTAGAGTCGTCTTCCAATAGGTCATGTCTCCGTCAGACGGAGCTGCTTGTGCACTGAGACGGGCTATGAAATTAGTATGCTGACATTGAGCATTACATTGTGTGCACCACACTGTTTGTAGTTGTTCACTGGCATACAATTCTCTTCTTGCTACAAACGAACATTGTGTTTGCAAGGTAGATGGATCACAGAAATTTGCAGGTACGAGATAACCATCAAGTGTGAGTACGCTTCTTGTTAAAAATGGTATTGGAAAGATGCATGAGCATTGTGAGAAGATATACATCTGTTCACACAACTCAAGACATACTGATTCCGAATAAACAATAGCAGTCGATGCTGAATCGTTGAAAAACGTTGTCTTATACAGAGCATGCATATCAAGACTCACATCAGATATACATTTCGTATAGGGCGATGGAAGAAAAGTCGTTTCAGTCTTACGGTAGGTTATCAAGTGAGATGAACCAGGTTGAAGACTTAGACCATTTTCGTTGGGCAATGGAAGCTCCTTATTATCATGCAATAAAATGGTCAGTCCAACATCGTAGGATTGCGTTAGAAAGTACATTTCTCGTGGTATGTAAAATGTCATCGAGAGACCTCTTTTCATCACGGAAGTTGTACCGAAATCGTTAAGTGTAAATATTTTCGCTGATGTTTGCCAATTGAATGTAAAACAATTGCCAAATATCGTCGACAGAGATGGCGTCAACATATTCGAACAATCGATTCCATTGTAGGTACATTGAAGCAGTAAGTCACTCAGTTCAAATCCAAGTGACCATAACTTGTCTATTTGATTTCGATTGATCAAGTCAACAATCATGGGAAGTTCAAGAGAGTTTAGGTTATTCTGATTAAATGTTGCATTTAGTGGATACAGCCGATAGAAATAAGAGATCAGTGATACATTCATCCGATCGTATCGAAATGGATTGGCACTGCAGACGGTGACGGCAGGAAATGTCATGTTACGATCAAGACGAATGTCAACATTTGTTTGTGTTGGATAGGCATAATACTGGAGAATAGCTCCTCTGACAAAATACAGCATAGGGCCAAAAGCTGCGGTGAATGCAATTATCCAGAATACAAGATTGAAAGTGGAACGAGCACGACCCACATTGCGAAGTCCATGAATAGAGGCTGCCAGTAGATAGTCGATCAATATCAATTGACGACGTTGTTCGACTTTTTTCGGCTGAGAACAGCCCACAATATTATCCAGCGTTGTCATTCGTGTGAGTTGCAAAAAAAACTGTCTGAGTAAACTTAACAGTGTTTTTCTTTAACTGCCGACAACATTGATTATCTCAAGTGAATAGTAAATAAAAAATTTGAATCGCTTGTTAGCATTATTTACATGAGGCTCCGAACAGTGGTCCATTTTTCAGTTCATGAAAAAGAAATGAGTAAATGAGAGTAAATTTGAACATGCTCGACTCTACTGAAAAACTCAGCTAGCTTTCTGTTGTGCAAATATTTACTTTTTAAGCGTTCTAATGGCTCAGAATTGACTTTTTTCCCAAAAAGTCAATACTACGACCGTAAGTTCTTACATTCAGTATATTCGAGACATAGAGTCTATTTCAGGTCAATCTGTAAACATTTTTTCTCTGCTAGAATTGTTGTTTGGTTGTAATCATTGAATCTCTTGCAGGCAGGTGTTTCTGTGGTAATCATGGCTGAGTCTACTCAATCAATAATCGTTAATTTTAGTCAGTTTTTCTGATATATGAACAAGACGCATTTTTATGCAAATGCATGCAAAGCATCGAAAATAATACGCATTTCCAGAACGAAGTTGTTTTAATTAACATCATAACTACTTGAAAAAGGCAAAGAATACTACGGTATACGTATGTTACTATACCATTCGTGCACCTCGTATAGCAAAAGTCTACATACAGGTCTAACACATTCTGATAGATCAGGTCAGATCAGTTTATTGACAGTATTCTACACAGCATTTTCCTTTGAACCGATACAACTCACAGACGGAATCAATATACCATGATAACTGACTGTCATTAGTGAATGAAAGATTGTCTGAAGAAATTGTCGTTCTGCCTCATTCGAAATTGTTTTACTAGATTTCGTTTATTTCGATGGACCAAGCTCTGGTTACTGGAATTTGGACAAAATGAAATAAAACGTTCTAAGAGAAAGAGAATACTAAGGTAGACGTTGTCTTCCCATCTATAGCCAATCGTTGTTTTTCGATTTTTTTCCGTTTATACCTCCTTGATATCCTTTGTTCGCTCTTTTATATTTAGATCCGGATCCGTACAGACAAAAAGGCTAGTAGTCATATGTAGATTGACTGCACACTACACAGCACATGAACACGATAAATGAAGTGTGGTAAGCCCTTAATCATGACAATGATTACAGTTGTCGAAACGATCGAAGAAACAAAGCAATAAAAATCATCAAGAGAAAAAAATTCAATCAGAAAAGTGTAAACATCAGATCAAACAAGTAAAAACACAGTGTTAAAAGTCATCTGACCAGATAGAATGGCCAGTGGTTCAAACTGTGTTCCTCACGAACCAGTTTAAACTTAAGTTATTTTCTAGTGCATTCCGGATCTATTGCTGAGTACTTTTTCATCGATACTTCTTTTTAGTAGTTGTTGTACTTAGCTGATATTTTCTCCACTCATTCTGGTCGATTGCTAAAAGTCTATTAACAATGATAAACTCATCCAAACTCCAGATATTTTTTTTCGTTTTCTTCTAATCAAATTACTATTGAAACTATTTTTTCAATAATAAACATTGTATGATTAAAAAAGTTTTTAAAAAGATAATATTTCATTTTGAAAGATTTAGAAATTCTAATGAGAGTAAGAACAAAAATGTTTCTTGCTCAATTTTTTCTAAATGAAAGAAATTTATTTTAGTCATGCAAATGATTATTTAGATAAAGGTTTTACAAATTATTTTGACTAACATTTCAAAAGTAAACCTTTTATTTATTTTGATTCTCAATGAATGTGCTTCAGAAGAAAAAAAGACGCAAATTCGGAAGTTATTTAATTTTAAAAAATCAAAATTAATTACAAAAAGAAACAAAATATATTCAAATGTAAAGAAGATTTCATTTAGGTTTTTATCATTTGGAAATCTGCTTTCACTTTTTATTGAAATCAACTGTTTTACCATCATAAAGAAGAATTCAAATTTATTATTTAATAATTATCTAAAATAAATAAAAAGAGAGAAAAAATTACTAATTTTGCTGTGAGATTTAAGTTAAATATAGAAAATATGGTTGTCTCGCTGTATTTTCCTGTTACTGGTTTTCATAGTATGAATTTTTTAAATGTTTGTTCTGAATCGAGAGAAAATGAAGGAGAAGATGCAGAAAATAGATAATGATATTAGATCAACAAGTAGAGCGATATTGAATATAGGTGCATCAAACCTATTGAATTTTATCTAAAAAAAAACGTCATACATCAATCAAACTCAGTTGAATAAACTTTATTTGTATTCGGTTTTATATTTATGAATCTTGCAGATCACATCAAATTCTATTTTTATCTATTGACTATAGAGCTTGCTTTACTGAAAAAGTAAATCAAGTAAAAAATAAAAATTTGAATCCTGACCGATTTTTTCTTCATGACAAACACATATGTACTCATGGTTCTTAGTAGTTTTCAGCGAGAGGATCACTGATATTTTCTTGTTGCCATTGAATAACTGAGATGTGGAGCACTGTTCGCAGCTTTTACAATATTCAATCTATCTGACGATGAAACTTATGTGATAATTGTTTTTTCAAATTCATTTTTACAAAAAAGTCATATTTAAGATATTTTCAAATATTTGTAGAACAATGCTCCAGAAGAAAATTCTGTTCATTTCAAATGCCAAACAAACGTTTCGATAGCTTTATATCACACAGTCTAGGTTGTGTAGTCTTCATTTGGCTTACGTACAATAAATTGTAATATCCATCAATGGTGCAAACAACGCCTGCAGTTCCTAGTTCTGAGAGTTTGTACAGTCGACATCCGACTTTTTGATGTTTTAAAAACACTAGTCAATGCTTTGTCTGTATCGAATGAAAACGTAGAAAGATTATTTCGTTGTCAGTTTAAATACATTTATCCAAATTCTTAACTGATGAGAACTAGATCTGTCGCCAGAAATTTTCTGAGGAGGAAGACGTGCTGAACACTGTCTAAGAATGATCCGCTGGGTGACAATAGTGTTCCTGTAGCTCCTTCAGAAAATTTATTTCCTGAGAAGAAGAGAGATTGAGATCTCTCAGTCACTCCCTTCTCTGAGATCTTCATGAAGACCTAGGAAAGTTTTGCCTAACTATGATAATAAATCTTGAGAGAAATCTCAAATCACTCGCTGTTATTTTAATTTTGTGTACAGAGTGAGTTCTATGAGAACACGATGTGGTCCGCAATGAGACATCAAACGAAATATTTGATTCATTATCGTTGCTTCTATGTGCGTGATCCAAAATAATTTAATTTTCCATTGGGAATGGTGAACATCATTCTGTAAACCTGTTCAATGATGCATCGACAATCTCTTGAGACAGTTATTAGTAGAAGACAGATAACTTTCAATTAAAACCATTTTCAAATTTTTTCATCGATTCTACTGTTCGTGGAAATGAGTTTTAACGAAAAGGCGGTATCTCAAGAGTTCGACTGTGCTTCAATTAAAACACTACAAGTTCTGAGAGAAAGTGTCCGGAAATCAGCAAATACTTTCTACTAAACCTTGAGTTTAGTGGCTCTGAGACCATGATTAATCCTTAGTCCTTCGTGTTCGAAAAAGTTGATTTTATCTATCTTTCTGTTGTGAATAGGGGATTTCTATAGCATCAATCTTTCAACGAATAGTAATTGTTGATTGAAATGCTTGCCACTTTTGTATATAGTACATTTTTTGCAAACCTTTCGTAAAAATCTTTGCTTATTGCAAACTTAATCTTTCACTCTATCAAATGTTCATACTTCCTATTATAGATGTGCTTTTTTCTCTGACGAATAATAAATGAATAGAAAAGCTGAATCAATGCTGACATCCATCAACCTTATAAATTATATGTTAACAGCAAACAAACAGAATATGATGTTGATTGTGAATGACATGTATGCAATGCTTTTTTCACGTGCTCGTCGCGTAAAAAAAAATAAATGCAAGAGAATGCAGAAAACGCTGGCTCTAGTCGAAGAGAGAAAGTCAACAGAGCTGTTTTCTGGTTTAAAATGCTTCATCATGATTATTATGACTCATTGTTCTTTTTTTCTTGATGATTTGACACTTTTTTTGTACACGTAAATTACATGTAACTTATTCCTAGATAAATACGAAGTTTACAAACATAAATCGAACTTCAATGTTC